GGTGTACATTTTGTTACAGTGTATTTTACATATTGAATTTTTGGAAGTACATATTCTGGCATTGTAGAGATTACATATTCTGGAAGTGTATGTTAGACAGTGAGTTACTGACATTGTGTATATTGTGTGGCGGTGTACATTTTGTTACAGTGTATTTTACATATTGAATTTTTGGAAGTACATATTCTGGCATTGTAGAGATTACATATTCCAGTGTATAATTACCGTAAAAAAAACCAACTAAATAAAATAATTTCTGCACTTTTTTTTCAGAAGACTCGTATGTGTTAGGTCACTAAATTCAATCTCAAACATATTGTGGCAGTAAAGAGCATAGAATTTCATACTTATTGATAATGTGGCAGTGAAGAGTGTGCAAACATTGCAGTGTATATTCCACTTAATCAAACAAAGTATTCAGTGACTGCCTAAACAATTTTGGAAGTGTGGAATGGTCATGGCAGTGTGACTTAATAACAAAATATCCACTAATCCACTTTCACATCACTAATTAATTAAATGCCCATTAATTATTACTAGAACAAAACAAAATATCATTTATACCACAAACAAACTAAAACAAACTCCAAACAGCTGTCATACGAACAATAAAATATTGAAGGTATAAAAAAAGTCTATTGCTTTCGGGATTCTTCCTTCCTCTCATAGCTATAAGCTAAAAGTTCTGTTGTCATTTTAACCTGGTAAGCTTCCATGTCACATGACTGCACTTCATCTATCTTTAAATCCATCATTAAAAACTCTGCAAATTTCACTACAAACATACCACAATTACACCTGCAATTGTATACAAAATTCAAAGTCAGTAAACATTGTGTACTGCCTACATTTTCAACACATGTAAGGTCACTCTCACAAAATCATAATACTTAACTATCACATACCCGTCACTTTGTTGAGGACACCCATCAATTATATCAATTGAGAGCTTTTGATCTCCCATTGGCCCATCAGAGTGATTTTTATACACATTCAACATGTCAAGAAGCTTTGGTAACAATGATGATATACACGTCACGTATGGAATGATTCCCCTACTTGTCTGCCCTTTCTTTCCTTTAGAATTATAGACCCTTATCTTCCTTTCTTCAACTTCGAGCACAAGTAACATCCAGTGATTCCCAGTGTTCAATGGCATATATACAAAATCACATTCACACCAAGGCTTCGCATATTCGCGCGCTAATCCTAACACCTCACTTGATAGACTTGAATTATCAATCACATCCTCCATTTTCACCTTGCCGACATCTACCACCTCCTGGTGCGTCTTGAGCCCTTGCAAAAAATATGGTGACGCTGCTGTGTATGTCTGCATCAAGCTGTATTGAATGCTCTTCAATTCAAGATAGTACATCGCAATCTCTATATGCTGAAATAAAAAAAGAAACCCGAATTATGGTATTACATTACACATATTGTATGCTCCTACAAGCGCAATCATCACCGATTAATAAAAATCTAACCAAAAGAACACACTGCTATGTTAAAACAACACTGCCCAAAAACCTAATGCATTATGCAGTATACACTGCCATGTAAAAAACACCACGTTAACAAAAGAGAACCACACTGCCGAAATTCAAAGTGTTAAGGCAGTACACCCCGTTTTGTTAAAACAGCACTGCCCAAAACCTTATGGATCACGTAGTATACCCTACCATGTTTAAAAAAAACGAATCCAATACAAAGATAAACACACTGCCGAAATGCATATTCATTAGGCAGTATACTATGTCTTGTAAAAACAACACTGACCAAAAACCATTTCGAATAGGCAGTGTATCCTCCTTTAAAAAAATCTGTCGAAAAATAAGGGAAACACACTACATTCACACAGCCCACACCTCCCCAAATAAACCCCAGGCTATTCAAAACTTGAATCTCATACAAATCACTCCAATGACATAATACCAAGTCATAAAACCCGACATATTTTGTTCTCCAAATTCACACCCCATTAAAACTCACCTACACACTGCTACAAATATATTTATATGACAAAAAAAACATATTCAACCTTGCCATAAATTTAAAGACATATAAAAAAATCTTACCGTGCTGCGCAACCACTCTGTATTGGTAAATAGCTCATAAAACCATGTCTTATTTTCCACCTTGAATCCATCCAGAACAATGGGATCTTTGGACAAGTCATCCACTTCAGCTACATACCTACAAGTTCCGGTAGCTATACCTCTTCTCTTCAAAAGTCCTTCATTCAAGAAAACTCTAACCTTTTCAACATCTTCTTCGGATGGCATTTGCTTAGGATCCTTAGTAAATGGCCCATATCGTTGCCCATTCCGTTCACTCTTCACACGCTCGCTAAATCGCACCATTCTTTTAATTTTACGTTTTTTCTCTTTAATGACAACCTCGCTTGGAGTATATCTTTCTGGACTCTTATGCACCCTTTCTGGCCTCTTAATCTCCACACAAGCACTGTCAGAATTCGTAGGCGCCGCGACAACCTACCCTCACCATCATGAACAATAGTGAATATCAATTTACTACCACTATTCTTATTAAATTAACAGACATTATAACTAGAACTAATACGTTGTAGCAAACGACTGCCACGATTTAATTCCTAACCTCCGTCTCTTCTCCAACGTTTTTGCCCATTTTGCTCTTCCAAAAAATTTTGTCAAAATCATCGTCAAGAGCCGCCTTGCCACCATCGCCCCCTACATTCCGCAAGTCTATCTTCTTCGAACAATCAACTGGACAAACCTGCAAATTTAAAAAAAATGAGAACAAATGCCAAAATACTACACCCATGAATAGAGTAAAAACTCATATAAAAGTATTTAATTGTTGGCCTTGGTTTGCTAAGCCTCATGTTTTGATGTTAACAAACAATATAAGAGCTTGACGTGTGTTTAAGTGTTTCAGGTACAACAAGAATCCATTAAAATTCGGTTCTCAAGAATGAAGTCGAAACACCAAACTAGCGTAGAATTTAGGTAGAAACCGATGTAAGAATATGACTTTATATACCTATATTCACAAGCTCAAATGCACTAACAAAATATGTTTAAAACCATTCCATAAACATTTTCAAATATCCAAAAGGTTTTAAACTCAAACACGAAGGATTACGTAAATTTTGGAACAATCAGGACAACGGCACGGTACCCCCAGACGGTAGGGTATACCGCCACACGGTACCCCTATACCGTGGGACGGTACCCAGGTACCGTACGGTAGGCCGGAACGGATGGACACACCCGTCCTAACTAGGTACCGCCAGAACCGGATGAAGTTTTTGTGCTACACGGTATCGAGGTACCGCCTCTCACGGTACTCCCTACCGTACGCACGGTACCATGATACCGTGTGGACGGCACCTACCTACCGGATCCGTTACAGCACTGTTCTTGATTGCGAAATTTGAATTCAAATCACCCCTAATCACTCCCAACGGCTAATTAACATCTTCCACTATAAATACAAGCCTAATCCTTCATATTTCTTTTAGAAACAAAGCTCTAAACATCCTCTCTTTATATTTTAAGTGTGTTCATTCTTTTATTAATTATTTCCAATATTTTGGCTATTTCAAGAGCCTTAAATCCCTGATTTTTATACACACACTTTGAGCTTGTGTTTCTAGTTATATACTCTCATATTCATAAGTTTGAATTGTACTTTTGAGAGAGTATAATTTCCTTCTACACCGGCTAAGTTTTGTTCTTCATTTTTATATTCTAGCCGTTGTGTAGAATCCTCTTTTGTGTTTTTCAAACACACCTTCTTACGGTCGAGAATAGCCGTTAAATTCTCACGTTGTAACGGTTAAGGATAGCCGTATAAATCCTTGGGTAAAGGTTCAAGGATAGCCTTTGAAATCCTTGGGGGAACGGTACGAGATAGCCGTTGTAAAATCTCGGTGTGAATCCTATTGGCAAGGGTTGTTTGCCAAACTAGTGCGGTGCTTTGACGGAGTTCAAGAGACCGAGACTTAGTGGATTCGGAAATCCTTAAGGAGGAGCCTTAAGGTACTGGAGTAGGGAGTTCCCGAACCAGTATAAAATTGGTGTGCATTTACTTTACGCTTTTATTTTTGCATTTTACTTATTGCTTCCGCATTTGCCAACACCGTTTTTATTTAACTCCGAAAAGATTTTAAAACGCCTTATTCACCCCCCCTCTAAGGCGTGGGCACAACGAATAAACCGACTAACATTAATAAATTACAGTTTCGCATCTCTCAGAAGACTTCGCCCACATGCCAGTCACCTTGTCTATAACTTCCAAATCATGAGGACTGAATTGTGTATCACCCCAGGAAATCTCTGATGGCTTGAAACAGTTTTCAGCCCGACTTCCTTCAACTACCAACACACTGCCACTACCATTATCCTTATTCCCATCATTAGCCACACCATCTTTTGCAATGGGTGTAAGTATTTCAAAGGATGGTCCTTCCGGATTAATCATTATTTCTTGATCATTCTCCAAACTCTTTCTAACATCATCATTCTCTGGTTTCAGCTGCTCGTTCTCTGCCATCATGCTATCCTTCACGGTATGTGTTTCATTTTGGGAGCTTATAGCTTTTTCTTGAAGAATAACCAAAATTTTATCAATCTTTTTGTCTTGTTCTGCTTGCTTAGCCATAATCTCCAACATTACTTTCAACAATTCTTTGTGCTCACCACATTGTTTTTTATTACGTTCCTCTTTCTCCCCTTTGGACCCATAAGCCATATCATTACCACTCAGACTGCCCAAACCGACCATACCTACTTCATCGTCTCCACCCTGCTTGGTAGACATATTTCCACTGTCTTTCATCAACACTGCATCCTCTGATCTCTTGTCCGTCTTCTTCTCCTGACATGCTCGCTTCGCATCATGCAGCGACAACTTCTTCTTTCTTTTGGCGGACTGCGTTTTCTCACAAGGAAAAAGAAGCTTCACACTGTCCAGTTTCTTCTCATCCACGGTAGGCATGATGGGAGTCAACAACAAATGCAATTGAAAAAAACATAAATATACTAGTACAAGGCCATATGAAAAATTAATAAAAATATCTAATCTTAAAAGTTACCTTCTCAGATTTGAACAGTGCATCAGCCACTTTTCCTGCACTAAATTTAGCACAAACCTTCCACTTCAAACAACGTGGTATGCACACTTCTTTACCAGGAACAACATACACATCCCGGCCTTCGCAAGTGATGGGAAAGTCTCAAAAGCCCATATCTGCAGTGCAAACATGTATCCCCCAAATGTTGGACGAGAAGTTCCACCCTTTTCAATGCTTAGTCCGCACCGATGAACATGATCAACCAGGTCTGACCACACATCATCTCCCCATGGGAAATTATCGAACTCATCTATATCGTCCACTAAGTTTATATAGCACATCGGGAATTTCACTGTGGGCTGGTTACCTAAGAATGAATGTGACAAGGCATAAACCAATGACAACTTGAGTGCATCACTAGCAAGTGTCCCAGGTGCATCCCGCTTAAAATTTAAAAAAGCTGTGGAAATATTTCTACGCTGGACTGATTTTTTCCCGGGGAAGACCCTTGACGCAAACCTTCATCTCTGTTTATTATCCATATCGCCCCTGTAACCACCCATCTTTAAACCAGTGATTAGATGAAACTGTTCCTTCGTCAAGTTCACCTCATTTCCATGAATTCGAAAAGTCAATACATCTTTTTTAATTTCGTCTCCAGATGGCCTATCACAATTTCTGACCAAAGTAATAAGTAAATAACCACTAATCCATGGAAACTCTGCAACATCTAATATAACGCCAAATGAAGATTTTCGAAATCTGCCCAGTTCTTCTGTATTTAGAATTTTTTTAATCTGTTTTGCGACCTCATTCACGTTACAATACGCGTTAATTCGCCCTTCTTGCATAACAGTTTTAGAGGCCACTTCAACTTCCTACAACAACAATAGAGCATCTGGGTGAGATTCAAAAAAATACCAAAAAAGTGAAACAAACCCAAAAAAACGATACATTAATCAAAACATCACTGCCAAGCTTAAAACACACAGTGCATAGAACTTAAGCTTAAAAAACACACTGCCAAGCTTAAAAAAACACACTGCACAAAAAATGCCTGTACGAGTTCAACAAAGCCAAAAAAATCAATACATTAATTAAAAAACACAGCCAAGCTTAAAAAATAAAACACACGGCAAAGAACCCAAGGTAAACAACAACACACTGCAGAAAATAAAAACACACCGAAGAAGATTACAAAACACATTGCAGTCAACCTTCAATAAAAACCCCCTTGCCACACCGGGAAAAAAACTTATTCTAAACTTTGTAAGAGAAATTTTTTAAGAAGCAAATACAATGCCAAATAGAAGAAAAAACTTATTCTAAACTTTGTATTACGTCTAACATTCACAAAAAACCTAAACGAGTTCAACAAAGGCAATAAAAATTCAATACGTCAATCATAAAAACACTGCCAAGATTAAAAACTAAAATACACTGCAAAGAACACATTGAGGAAAATAAGAAAATATTGAGGAAAATTAAAAAACACATTGCAAAGGAAAATTTAAAACACACTGCATAAAAATTAAGAACACACTGCCAACTGAAAAAAAGACTTACTGAAGAAAATTACAAAACACATTGCAGTAAACCTTCAATAAGAACCCCCCCCCTCCTGCCACACTGGGAAAAACAAATTATTCTAAACTTTGTAAGAGAAATTTTTAAAGAAGCAAATTCAATACCAAACAGAAGCAAAAACAATACATAAACTTTGAATTAGGTCTAACAATCACAAAAAAACCTAAACGACTTCAACATAGCCAAGAAAACATTCAATACGTTAATCATAAAAACACTGCCAAGCTTAAAAATTAAAACTCACTGCATAGAACACACTGAGGAAAATAAGAACACATTGAGGAAAACTAAAAAACACATTGCAAACGAAAATTAAAAAACACACTGCAAAAAAAATAAGAATACACTGCAAACCGAAAAAAAAAATTATTCCAACCTTTGTTAGAGAAAATTTTTTAGAAGCAAAATCAATGCCAAAAACGAATCATACCCCTTTCTTCTCCAATCTTTTGCTTAGAGGGATCTCGTCCATTGCATCTTCGCTTGCCATTGAAACCTTGGATCTCCTTCCAGAAGCTGCTGCGTTGCGTTCGGCAGTGTGACGAGGAAGGGTTCCCGTTATGGCTGCTGCGCTGGGAAGATCGGCTGCGCTATACCGTTTATAACCTAATTAGGGAAATTTAATATTAGGTGTTATATTAGGTGTTTATTTAAGGACAAAAAAGAGAATTCATCTCGAAAACTAATAGCACTGCTATTTTGAGGATTAAAGTGCTATTAAAGTGCTATTTTCGTATTTCTCCCTCTCTTCATTCAACAATTATTTGTTGGGAACATTTCATTCTAGACATCATGTTTCACATATACTTTACAACAGGGTGGTAGTTACAAATCTTCAACTGTAAGATGTTTTTTTCGATATATAAAATTTAAGGATTCAGTACATATCTTGTTATTCTCTACTAGAATATTTACGTTGTGTGATTCCCCTAATTTAAGATTCGCCCTCCAAATTCAATACACATAAGTTTCTTTATATAACCTAATAAATCAACCAATAACTAAATATTAAAGACAACAAATAATTATCACATAAGCAACAATAAGGATTCGGAGTTACCTCCCGAAGCAGTGACACTGTAAAGCTGTGGATGCTCGACACATGAATATACAATATGTGTTAAAATGATATTTTTTTTTTCAAACTTCATAACATCATTTTTTTAAAATTGATAACATCATCTTTTTTTCTTTTTAAACAAAATAGTTTTTTTTTCCAAAATTGAATATATTTTTTTTTAACAAAAAGAGTTTTTATAAAATATGAGTTTAATTATTTTGGCAAAGAATCGTTTTTAAAACCACATTCTTTGATACCAAAATGTAACACCCCAACCCGCGTAACCCAAACCAACGGGTTAGGGAACCGGGTTGTCACTAAGTTGACATTCGCATGCATAAAGTTTCTTTTCTAAAATAACAATTAAACCAATTATAAAATTCGTCCATAGAGTTTAAACTAAACCCAAATTCATCAGAATAATTAAAAAAATCTAAACGTCGCGGAAGCATAAGAAAACCAAAGTAACGTCCAACAGTCCATATAATCAAATAAAATAATGCAATTTAATTTTTAAATTAAACAAGAGCCATCCACACCACACCACCACTTCACTGCTCTCCGGGTTGCCCATCCAAACTGTGTTCCTACCTGCGTGCAGTCAAACAACAACGACTACACGCTCAGCGAAACGCTGAGTGAAAATATACCTAAGCCAGCATTAACTCAGAGAATAGCACCACATTAACATACAATCAACAACAGCATGTGATCACAGAGAAAAATAGCTTAAATAAACATATTTATGTTAACACCTTCCATTTGAACATCATGTCCTTATTTTATTCCACATCAACTACTTTGAGTCATGGCACCCCAAGCGATGCTATAAAAGGGCCAACACAAAAACCCAAAGGAGATTCACTTTGGGCGGGTTGAAGCCCCTATCCTTGTGATGCAAGGACAGGTCGCGGACTTCCGTACGTACGTTTTTAACCCAAGACCACCGGGGGTGCGACAACGCCCCGCAATGGCCAATTTCCTAACCATATCCTATTGGTGATTCAAGCAGTCAATCCAATTCAGGTCCGCCTAATTATACTAGGTGGCCTATTTCCCATATATTATTCATAATCCACAATTTTCATCAATAAGATCAATTTAATTGAACTCTCAATTCACAATTCACAACAAATCACGTAGCGGCCTGTCAAGGCCAAAGACCCACGATTACCGTCATGCATAATCAAACAAACTCAAATTACAATTAACTCAACTTACTTGCGCAAAAACGAGCCCAAGGAATCTATCCTGAAGCCCGCTGCCCCCGCCAGAGCAGTCCCCATTGTCACCAGACCAACCCCAGCACCACTGCCGGTAGCCGACCCGGCTGCCCGAGGCCGCAGCCCGACAAACCGCCCTATTGGGTGATTCAAAGAAACCCGAACAATCCCAAACAGCCCCAATTGCATCAATTTCATGATATATATATACAACATTCCATATTCACTATTTCAAAGTAATAACACTGCGATGTATGCTGTCAAAAATATGATGCTGGTTTCTGAGACTATCTAGAAGACCTCTAAGATAACTTAGAAAGAGGCCTTGCGAGTATAATTATGAATATTCAGTGGCCTGGGTAAAAATGTATGTACGGGACCCGCAAATCAAACTTGAGGATCACTCGTTTGGGGATACCACCCAACCCAACAGTGAGCATTCCGTTGTTCGGTTTTTGATTGACCTCAAGCGAAGGTAAGTTTAAGATTTTGAAAACCATTTTGAAAATTTGTATCTTAAACTAGGCCTATCTTAAGGGTTGTTTAGGAGTACTTTAAACGAGAATATAGTTTTAAACCTTAAGCTAGAATTCGTTTAAGAGTTGGTTAAAATTAGTGCCTTAGTTTAAGAATAGTTTAAAAGTACTATTGAAATACTGAATATGGAATGTTGTATATATATATCATGAAATGACTTGAACTAAATATTGTGAATATCATGAACGATAAATGACTTGAATTGAATATTATGAATATTATGAATGATGAATGCTTGAATTGAACATTATGTGCATGATGTCAAATTATTTGATTATAAATTGATTGAAGTTCAATTTATATGGATGTTCAAAACATTAGATATGCTTACTCAGCTTCAACGCTGAGCGTGTAGCGTGTTTTATTTGCTACATGAAGGTTAATAGAGAGAATGAAGTGACGTGATCCTTGAGGCAGATGGCGGTAAGATAGTCGGGATGGATATTAAAAATCGATTTTTGATGCCTGAGATGAAACCCTTCTGCGCATGAATTAAAATAGATTTTTGAGGTAAGAAAATAATTTATTTTTATTGCGAATAATGCACAGACAGAAAGAACACAACCAAGTGCGAGGGGATGAAGTACTTTTGTCAAGTTCTTATTGTTCCCAACAAAGAAACATGTACAATCGGCTCCCCTTCATAACAAACTCATTCAAATTCATTTGAATGATTAAATAATATCCGGGTGTAAAAATGATACCCAATAAAAAAATTTGTGTTAAACGATGTACAAGAAAATATTTTAAAAGATATTTTTCTTACCACAAAAACTATTTATCTTAAAAATAGTATTAAAGAAAATCTTGACAAACTTTTTTAACTAACTCAAATGAGATATTTTTGGATAGAGAAATATTTATTTCTCAATTGACTCAATTTAAAGTACTTTTATCTATTTACCCTCAGAAAAATAGTTTGTTTGAGTAAACAAATGATTTTCCATCCTTAAAACATTGAAATATTGAAATGATTTATTAAAATAAATCATGGGAATAAATAATATGAATGGAATGTAAGAATATTTTTGAGTAAAGGTCAATTAAATTAATTTTTACTTAGTCAAAGTCAAACACCCAAAAATATGATGTCGGAAAAAGTATTACAAATAAATATAAAAATTATATAGTTGGATAGAATTTAACTATCCAATTGCAACGGTTCAAACAGATATTAATTTGGAGAAAGTTGAACCAAAAAGTATACCCCGAGTGGAACCAAAATTAGTCCCAATGTGGGACTTGCGTTTGAAATCCTAGGAATTGCAGCCTCCTCCAAAACACTAGCAGAGGTCATCACCCATGTCTTCTTCTTCACTTTTTCTCCTATATGAAGGAACCCAACCTTCTCATTTCTTCACCATTTTTCTTCAAACAGATTCTAAGAGATAGCCTTGAGTGTGGAGAATGTCGTGGTGTTATCAATTTGGTGTGAAGTCACTGGAGCTAAGAGTAATCCTCGCCAGAAGTTTTGCCGAAAAATTTTCAAAATCTTCGTTAAGCTTCGAGGTAAGTTCGTATATATATCTAGTGACTAATTTGTTCGTATAGATCGTTTCTACGTGTTCATAAACGGTCTTTTGGTTGAGTTTTGTGTTTGACATGTTTGAAGAACCAAGAATCATAAACCATGAAATTGTTGTTAAAACCATGAATTGATGATACCAAAATGATCTATGAACCTTGGAAAACATTTCTACATAATTTAATTGAAGTTTGGTGACCAAAAATGGAGTTGGAGAAAAATGGCCGAACGAAGAAGATGATGAACAGTAAAATAAAAATGGCAGCGAGGATCGATCCAAGGGCCTGGGTCGATCCCCTGGATGTTATTCTCTCTAGATTAGATTGATCCCCCAAAGTTTTGCTTCGAAAATATTTCTGAAAATGCTATTTTTAACCTCTAAAATACTGTTTTTGATACCAGTTATGATTAATATAAAGATGATTTCTTGGAATAAGAATGATTATTTGACAACGAAAAGGACCTTACGTGATGCATGACGATAAGCTAGGATGTTAACACTTGAATCTAAGCAAATAGTGGCCTAGCTTCGAGTGTTAACATCCTAGCTTATTGCCATGCATCACGTAAGGTCCTTTTAGTTGTCAAAACATCATTTTTATTCCAAGAAATCATCTTTATATTAATAATAATCATAATTGATTGAATGTAATATTGATTGATGGTTATGATGAATGAATATTTTTTTAGAACAAATGATGAATGATTATTATGATGATTATGATATAATGAACCTACTGATTAAAATGATTATTATTATTAATGATTGAATTGTAATTAAATTGAATACATTGATGATTATAAAATGATTTTTTTGTTAAGTATATGTACCCATTTGGAATTTATTATGACTATTTAGGATATCTAGAAAAACTCTAAGATATATCCATATTGACGTTTGTTTCTGAGACTATCTAGACAACCTCTAAGATAACTTAGAAAGAGGCCTTGCGAGTATAATTATGAATATTCAGTGGCCTGGGTAAAAACGTATGTACGGGACCCGCAAATCAAACTTGAGGATCACTCGTTCGGGGATACCACCCAACCCGACAGTGAGCATTCCGTTGTTTGGTTTTTGATTGACCTTAAGCAAAGGTAAGTTTAAGATTTTGAAAACCATTTTGAAAATTTATATCTTAAACAAGGCCTATCTTAAGGGTTGTTTAGGAGTACTTTAAACGAGAATATAGTTTTAAAACCTTAAGCTAGAATTCGTTTAAGAGTTGGTTAAAATTAGTGCCTTAGTTTAAGAATAGTTTAAAAGTACTATTAAAATACTGAATATGGAATGATGTATATATATATATATATATATATATATATATCATGAAATGACTTGAACTAAATATTGTAAATATCATGAATGATAAATGACTTGAGTTGAATATTATGAATATTATGAATGATGAATGCTTGAATTGAACATTACGTGCATGATGTCAAATTATTTTATTATGAATTGAGGTTCAATTAAAATGGATGTTCAACACATTAGATATGCTTACTCAACTTCAACGCTGAGCGTGTAACGTGTTTTATCTGCTACACGAAGGTTAATAGAGAGAATGATGTGACATGATCCTGGAGGCAGATGGAGGTAAGATAGTCAGGATGGATATTATTGTTTTGAACTGAAGAACATAAATAAATCATGTTTTGTGATTGTGATTTGTTAAGCTTCCACAACATTGAAAACTCCATACTATTTATGTTATGAAAAATATTATTGTTATAAATAAAAGTGTTTGAAATGTTTTAAATTTTTAAGATTACCAAGTTAATACTTTAGTCCGAAAAGGCTACAGATCTAAATGGATTAGGGTGTTACGTACGAAGTGACACAAAGATATATTTCACATAGTGAATCTCATTTGGCTGAAAGGAGAGGGATGCCCAGTTAAACTTAGACTTTTGAGTCATCCTGGGATTGTTCAAAACCTTAACTCCACTTCCATTTTTCACGAACGCCGCTCAATAAACTAGTGAAAGTCTACGAGCTACGATTAAGGGTTACTGTAGCTTTCACTGTCCAACTCCATCCCCTCATTTTATTTCATTCCTCTTAATCAGATTATTCCTTCCATCATTTCTAGGGGTTTTTCCCCTATTTCTAATTTTTATGATTGTCTTGCAAGAAACTAAGTATCAGCGCTTTTACTCAGTTTCCGAAACTCTCAACAAGAGCTTAAGCCCCAACTTGGTCTATAAAGCCCTCAAAACCCGGCCTATTACAATTAATTAATTTAATTAATTACTAACATGGACCAAGGGTTAGAAAATTAAACTATTGAAAAAATTAATTTGATTACGTCATTATTCTAGTTTTGATTACCTAATTCTAGAAATGTAATTGGTTTTCAATTCTGTTGGGCAAAAAAGGACGGACTGTTTATGTCCATTTTTAATTATGAAGTAACATAGGAATTATCACCATGTTACCCACATGTGTATTCTGCCCTCTCCCTCCTCTCCTCGATCACATTCATTTCATCTCTCAACTCCTTTAAAGCTATACTCCCCCCCTTCTTCAAATTCTCTTCCTAGTTTGCATCACCAACACAACCATCCAAATACCATCTCACTCTCCCTCTCTCCCTTAGCTTGTGCATTCGTACAAAAGTAGCAATGATGGATGACTGATAGCGGCAAGGAAGAAGAAGAAGAAAGGAAGAAGGATAAGAAGGGGAGAAGGAAGCATGTACGTGGAACGTTCATTGAGGCATAACCATTGTTCGTATCATCCTCATTCTTCAAATGCCATGTTCTAGAGGTGAGTACGTTTCCTCTTTTTATCAATAGGATTTGTAATTACATATCAATATAGATATGCATATAGTATTACTTGTTCGTAGATTATATGATGAATTACTCAATTGATTACTACATGTTCTGAATACCATATGCATAAATTTTTACTTAGAAGTCACCTAATAATGTCCCTATATCTTTTCCCATATGTTAAAATGAATAAACTGGAAAAAACCTAAATTTTATTCATTTAAGAAGAATCTAAGAGACTTTGGTCATGGCCGCTACCTGCGTCATGGTGGACCATCGTCAAGCATAGTGGACCGTGACAAGCTTCCCATGACATCTCATAGCATAATGGTCAACCACTGGCAAGCACGTTGACTGTTACTAGCTCACCTAAAGGTCTCCTCGTCTGTGGTTTAACCTCGCACGACCGACTAGCTTGAAGAAACAAATGGTCAGCAGCACATCATGGTCAACTGTCACGGTAACAGATTCTCTCCGTTGTGCAACCTATGAATTAACTTGTGTGTTAAGTTAATTCATGTTTTGAATGATTCTTGTTTATCTAATAGGCTACTGTATGCTTTCATCCATGCTTACGTGTTTCATGATATGATCCATCTATACAAGATTATTATGCTTCACTCATTATATGACGTAGAAGCATTCCATATTGTCTTGCGTAAGAGGTCAGGCCAAGTGTGCTTCTTGTAGCATGCTTGTGCAAGACTTATTAGCCCAAAGACATCTTTGTTCGGGCTTAGTGTACGTACATGGTAATCTAGGTCATTATCGGGTGTCACCCGCATCTATTCTAGTTTCACCCCTGAGACTAAGGTTGCCTGAATCATCACCAACAAGAAATGATCTCAAAGTGCAAGGTGTTCTTGCATAGTTTAGTTCATGCATCATGATTTATATTCCTTGCCATCATCATTTGACCTCACGTGTAATAATGTATGATTATGAATATGTGTATCCATATTTTTATTCAACTTTGTATCCTCTTGTTAGACTTTCCACTCAACTTTATGTTGTTCGTGTAGTTTGTTACTTGCTACACGCAGATTGGTTTGATACTTTTTAAGCTTCCGCGCTGAACTATTAAGTTTGACTCTTTTATGTTGCTTGAATTGAATTTATCAAAATTATTAATTTAAATAGGTTTCTTTTTAATTAAATGTCCTGAAATACCATTTTAGTAAACACTCCAACCCGTTTGGATGCAGGTAATCAGGTTGTACGAGTTGGGTGTTACAATTTGGTATCAGAGCATTTGCTTTTAAAAACAATTTTCAGAAACCATCTTAAACAATTTTCAAAATCCTCATTTGCACCTCCCATCACATCTCTGCCCGGGAAGGTAAACATGTGTCATCAGTTTGTTTATTTATGTCTAATAGGATAAGTTTTGCCTTACTATAGAATGAGTCAAGCATTGACTCAAGGCAAGACACAACCTCAGGTGAACCCTAAACATGTAAGTGTGCATACTGTGCACACCAAAGCATCTAGCTACACGCCTCTTTCCCAACATCACTAGGAGCCACAACCAGTTTCAGGTTAAAATGCAGGAGCGCTCCCAAATGTGGTTGTTCCCTTGTTTCACCCCTATATGGATGCCAACATGCTCAATTTCTTTTAGCTGATGGCTAGAGCATATTTGCCTCTGCCACCCCTAGTGGTTGTCCTCTCCATAGAGAAGCTCAAGAAGAATGGAGTCGAAGAGTTTTCTAATACCTTGATCGCCAAGCGTTGGATAGAGCACACACTACGGGTCCTCAGCAATTTGAAGGTTCTCGAGGAGGACAAAGCTCAGCTGGCTATAACACTGTTGTAGAATGCCGCCTATGATTAGTGGAAATGTGTGAGAGCAAACAATCGAGAACATGTACCTTGGGCTATCTTTGATCCTCTGTTCAAAGAAGAGTACGTGCCGGATCATTACGTTGAGGCTAAAAGGGAGGACGCCATGAAGTTCACCCAAGGTGAGCTCATTCTTCTTAAGTATTGTAAGCAGTTAAGCGAGCTAGCTGAGTTTGGCAAGGATTTGGTTCAGACTATGGAAAAGCATTGCAAGAAGTTCATCGAGGGTCTCCGACCAGACCTCTCTACTTGACTCATAGTAGTGCCTCGATAGGACATTAATCAGGTTTATAAACAGAAGATTGAGCTAAATGCTGCCCTCATCAAGAAGGTCACTTATGAAGAGACCATTTCAGCAAACCCCAGCGCACTAGTGACCATGAAAATGGAACTTAGCACCAAAAGACCTTTCTCAGCGTCAAGTAGCTCTCATCGGGGCAGAAGGCTAACTTGGCACCAACTCCATCTTTGGCTGCCATCAGCAATAGTGGGAAAAGTAGAGTCAGGTATTGCCACCCAATATGCTCGCTGTGTGGGCAGAGACATTCTGGTGAGTGTTTGGTATTGCAGGGATTGTGCCTAGGGTGGCGGAAAGGTGGGTCATTTTCACAAGGATTGCCTGAAAAACCCTGGAAAATCATTTCCTTTACCCATGATATAGTATCATCGGCCCCTGCTCAACACCCAACTCAGTTTTCCTAGAGCTAGAGATCCACATTAGCATCTTGTTAGCTAAAGAGGCCAACACTGAATCACTAGCAAGGCTGAGCTCCAACTCATACCTGTAAGTAACCTACTAGCAATCTTTTTAGCTTATACCTATGCTTATTGCTTTTAAGACTAAACATCCCAAAAGAAGCTCTTGAGAATCTTGTGGTTGTGTCCAATCCTTTGGAACATAGCTTGCATCTTCAGAACATCTACCACAATTTCTTGTTGGTTGTGCAAGGAAAGACTTTCACTGCAAACCTTATCAAGCTTCCTCATCAAGAGTTTGATGTCATACTTTGCATGGGTTGGCTCACTACAAACCAATAAGTGGTTGATTCCGGTTCATATGCATCGTATGGCGCAAAGCTGAAGATGGTGGTGATATATCGATCCATGGAGAGCTTCTTCCGAAGGCTCCCAAATTCATCTCTAACATGTAGGCTAGCTAGGAGACTCATTCACAAGGAATGCGTGAGGCATTCTTGTATGCTATCTGTGATACTCAGAAACGGATCCCAACGGGAAGGAATCTCTATAGTATGTGTGTAACGCCACAACCCGGATACCCAAATTTATTTGAATATCCGACTCGCGGTGTTAACGGGTGTAACTTTTTGTATCGGAAAATGGAGCATTAAACAAAATTTATTTATTTATTGATAATATCGGAGTAACTATTATACATGTGAAAGCAATAAAACTTAAAAATATTAACACTTTATTAAAGTGTCATAACATGACTTATTTTAATATAGATAGTAATATTTTGACCCACTCGTCCAGTGCCCTCCACATCAGTACTGCCCTCCGGCAAGGCTATCATTTTCTGATTCTGTACCTAAAAAAAACATGAAGCCAACCCGATCAGCAAAAGCTAAGTGGTACCAATTATAACAATAGGTACAAAATATAATAACGGAAACATACACCTTTTCTAAAAATTCTTATAGTAGTACTATAAACACATTTGTTTTATAAAACTGTAGTATCAAGAAAATCAACTTTTCTTGTACTCTTTGTTTAAGTAGGCTTTCAAGTACTTTGTGTACAAGACGAGTCCATTATTTTTTTTCTGGGACTTCAAGTACTTTGGGTACAAGACGAGTCCATTATTATGAGCTCGTACGTACGGCAATGGAGGGGTACTGGTTAACCCTTTGGAACTTGTGAACCGTAGTTCACATATCACAAATCATTGATAAATTTTCGAATATAAATGTATACTCCCTTCGTTCCAATTTAAATCGCTCATTTTGACTTTTGGGCATATTTAAGGAAAATAAAAAATAGAGTTGATTTTTCAAAATTGACATTACTTTTTAAGAGGGGTAAGCTAAGGATGAATGAGAAGATAAGGTGAAAAAAGTGACTTATTTTAAGGTTGTTTAGGTATTTTATTTTTAAAAGTTTACAAAAACAACTAACAGACATGCAATTTATTTTGGGACGGAGAAAAAAGGCAAACATGCAATTTAAAATGGGACGGAGGGAGTACATGAGTACTTCATAACATAATGTTACATAATCTATATATATTTATAGTTATTTTTTTAAAAGTAAATATTACGGGGTACATAATACTTAAAGAAATAATTAAAACAGAGTACCACTTCATGATTTTAAAAGAAATTGTTTCGTATAATACTCATGCATACATATCATGCATGTGACAAATCAAATATTTAATTCATGTGAAGCTTTTATGACAAAATAGTTCTAATTGAATCCCTAAATTTCTAAACCAAATAAGTTTTCAGTGGGGCGTCAATACTTTTTCGTTTTTTTTTTCGTTCAAAATTAAGTTTTCTCTTCTAACTTTTATTGAAATACATCTTAATATATATAAATTGTTTGGACGTAAAAATTTGTAGAAATTGTGTGCCATTATCATGACCCATTTTTGGTCGCCTTTCTACACGAGTGTTCAAAAATTTGTTTCAAAACCTTATTTTCTATTCGCATGCCCTTATATAATCATCATAGAAATCTTTTGGGGAATATTTTAGATAATTTAGACGTAACGCATGTTAAAAATAAAAGTCGGTAGTGTTCCCGATTATTAGTGATGAAAATTAAATCAATTGATTATATAACAAATATAGCATATATTAACGTATTATATTAAGTAACGATTGTTATATGGGCGGCAGTACTCACCTTAGAACTTGGAATTAACCAACGTAATCGGCAAGCTTGGTTGATTTCCGATGCTCTCTCTCTCTCTTGACGTAAGTATAAGCTTTAGTAATAAACTAGTATAAGCACGAGACCACTCATATATATATATATATATATATATATATATATTTGAAAAGTAGATTTTATTAATAGGAAGTGAAAAAGTAATACAAGAGAGGGGGGGTGGCCAACCCCTACAAACCGGCCAGACAAAATACCAACTAAATATCAAACCAAAGACTACCAAAGAAATAAAACAAAAGAGCAAAGCTTGTGAAGATGATGCTGTGTCAGGCCAAGGGACAGAGCAATAGTCTCTTTCAGTAATTTTCAGCCCTTTTGAGTAGCTCTCAGTCGTACAAAAGTACCCTTGGTCAATTATTAATACCCAAGATGCTGAATACAGGTTTAAAGATGGATTCCAGCCAATAATCTATCTTGGAAAACCATGAAGAATTCCAAGCCAAGCAAAAAGGGACAGAGGACCAACTACCTTCACTTCCCAAATTATAGACTATGCTAAAGTCCAACCATAGGAGAAAAAAAACCAAGAAGAGGTAGACCTGCGCCAGCTGTGGTCTCATATTTCACATTATTTAGAAGAAAACTGCTACCCAGCAAGAGCATCCCAACGTAGCTGTGAAATTACCCTTTGGTAATGACATTTATGAAGAGATGAAAAACCAGTGCTCTAAAAACGGATAAGCTGCAACTCCAAAACATAGGCATGGAAACCAAAAGGCAGTAACAAATAATAGGTAGCTAATTAACTCAAGAGAGGGGTTAGAGAAATAAAAATTACTGCAGGTTAATCAATAAGCATATTCTATCTCTTCATCGAAACCATAGTCAGAAAATTGAGACTGCTTATTTTTCTTCTTCATTTTCTTTTTTTGAGTTTTGGTTAGAGGTTTGCTGAGGGGTTTAGGATCTTCTATCTTGTTAGGACAACAAAGTTTGAAAAATTTGATAACCTCGTCCTCATGTGATTCTTGGGGATCTAACAAGTCTTCTTCTTCGACCCAGCCGATAGGATTAAATTTTCTTCCTTGCTCAAGGATTTTAGCCTTACTCCTCGTAACAATTTGTGACGGTGAGTACGTCCTTCTTCCCTTTAGTACCTTACGGAGATGGAGGGGGTGTTTGGAGCATCTTGAGAAGTCGATTTGCAAAGGTTTGAGCTTTGTGTCTATGAAAACAAAATCCTCCCCATCGGAGTGGGTATAGAGAATGGGTCCTTCCCTGTCCTTAGTGTGATCTTCCACTGCGTTGAGGGATAGAACCAAGCTTTGGCCATTGAGATTTGTAAAGGGGTCTTCTTCTGGCTCAGTAGTAGCTTTGAATCCTTGATCCTTAATGAAAATATCAGCGTAGGAGTATACAGCGGGCACAAAGGTGGGAGCAAAAGGACTAAGGATTTTCCGTGGCAAAGGTGGAAACTCTTCGATTTGGCTGGTGGAAAGGCTGTAGTTAGGAGCTGCTTCGTTCTGGAAAATAACTAGTTGCTTGTTAGTTACCGCAGAGGTGGGATCTCCAACAAAGCCTTCTGAACTTGTGACATCACCACTTCGCCGGGTATTTACATCCTGTCCTGTTGTAGGCAGCGATGAAGCAGAAAGGGTCCCTTGTGAGGACAGCTTTGGGGAGTTTGCAGGGGTAATTGGAGGGCCAAAAGGGGGATATATATATATATATATATATATATATATATATATATATATATATATATATATATATATATATATAAACCTTGATACGATCAATTTACTGTCCAAAACTTTTTCGAGAGTAAGAAGTGTTAGAATATATATAAAAAAAACTTTCTTAGGCCTAAAACCACAAGCTTGGGCTTTTGGTTGAGTTGGTTTCTTGACAAATTAAGGTTTCACGTGCAAGGCTCAAAGCGCAAGACTCGGTAGGAGAAGCACAAGCACACCTAGGACTCCTTTGTCCAACTTATCAATTCCTTATATTTTAATTGCAATTACTTCTTTACTATGTTGATCCATATTTCACCCGTGTAACTTATGATGAGATTGAGTTAGAGATTTCAAAATAATAGAAGTACCAAATAAGAACAAAGACATTGGAAATTTGCAGCACCTGTTTGACAAAGTAAGTAACCAACAGCATTATTATCAGGATATGTGAGAAAGTGGGTCAGTCCATCATCATCAAGTGCAAACTGTTTCAAGTGGTTCATAAGAGACTCACAAGATCAGTTGATATGCCAAACAGAAAGGAACGACATCACGGCAATAAAGAATTGAGGATTTGATTGAGATCCTCTAACTATAAAAACTTCTTTGGAGCACCTACTTTGTTCTTCTTACAAATCTATTATTCTCCTTGTGTAGAGAAGGTTTGCATGACTATCAAAAATATAAAATAGGTAACTCTGTAACCAATAACTAATTCACCCATTCAGGTAAACTAATACAGAGTAAATAACCAAAAGTAATTCATGGAAGAGATTAGGGATCATGGATTCTGAGAGAACAGCTAAACAATATGCCACATTGCCAATGAAGTCCAGGATTTGGAACAGCCCAATATTCTTATGATCTTCTGTGCACCTAATGTGTCTTAGGGTTTCAACATCACCCAAACCTGCTCCCGTGGAGTGAAAACAGCATCATGGTGCACATGGTTATGACATTGCTCCTTACGGAACTGTGTCAGTTGAATGTTATCTCGTGCATTGTGTAAGATTCCATCCATTGACCACAAGGCCTCATCAAATGCCTCTGATTTGGATGTACCAAGATCACAGGACAATAACTGTAGGGGTGGGCTCCCGTAAACTATGTGGATTAAGGTAAATTGCAAGAATCGAGTAAAGGATGTACAATTGAGTGTGGAAATACTCTGCCCAAGGATATGCACTCATTGGTGGGGTGCTTACGAAATACGAATTAAACCAGGTGATAAGATGAAATGAAATTAAGCTTTGTCCTGCTCAAAGTAAGTGTTGTCTTACTATTCAAAGTAAACACTAAACAACACCCTCCAAAATTTGCTCGTTAAAACAGGATCCCTGTCGCTCGCATTGGATTCTGGTTGGCCATGGAGCTTGAAGGCATGAGAAAAAATGATGAGACATTGTGGTCGTATCCGGATGTTGCATAGCCATGAAATGTGCATACTCTGACAACGTGTCAACCCCCACAAAAGTCACCGACTTCCCATTAGTTTTAAACTATCGTATTAGTTCTAATAAAATCTGTACATATATGTCCTGGGGAGGAGCTACAACAGGCCAGTGAGATGCACTTGCCCACTTATGTTGGCGACTATCTGTGAAATTAGCCACTTGTGCACCTTGCACTTGAGGTGTGTGGGAGAGGAACCTGAAATTAACATAGTACACATTTCATCATTTAAAAAAAATACCAAAAACAAATGCAATACAAGACACCCACACAAAAAAGGAAAGGTTAGTGATAATAGATTGATATTGAACTAGATAGCATTTCTGATGATTTATGCTCAGGAAATAAGTGCTTTGTAAGTCTACTTTTTTTTATAAAAAAAAGTATTTGGTAGGAAGTGCTTAAATGAGAAGACTTGTTCTTTTATATAAAACAATTGATGTGCTTAAATGAGGAAGCAAAAACTATTATTTCATATCACTTACGATAAAAGCAAAAACAGCTCTTACTTTTATCGTGCTCATTTTGTCTGTAAACTGTGAGTTGAACTCAAACATATCCGAAGGCAATATCGCCTCGGTGCTTGGCTCCTTCTTCAGGATTTTATACTTTGCACAGGACAATGAATGGAGAAGTTTAACAACAGCCTTGTCTGAAAGGTTTAGCTGTCCCACAATTTCTTGATAACTCAGACGATTTGATGTATTGAAGAGCAGCAGTGTACAAGCCTATTGATAATAAAAACAACAAGAAATAAATGCCAACAAGCTCCTTGTGAAAAAAGTGCACATATATATATTTATTAAAGTATGCTACTTAAAAACCTGGGAAGTAGTCACAATCAGCTCTATTGTTTTCTGCTCAAAGTGTCCACTCATATTACAAGTACCCAGTGAATCTATCCATGTAAGCTTCCTGTTCCTTGTTTTTCTTTGATAAAAATCACTGAACACTTCAACACATTTTACCTAACATACAAATTCAAAGCAGTAAAAAACAATGCCATAGTTGTCATACTGGAAAAAGTAAAAGGTATTGATGTTCAAATGAGTAAAAGAACATTGTTTTAGGAGGGATAATTAATAAAGACAAATGAAGCGGGATACAGTGAGGGGTTATAGCAAGGGGTTTTCTCGTGTGCCCATGGGCACCTGATAAGACACAATAAATGAGTGTTGAATGCTTAGTCTTCTTAAATTATGCCTCATACAAATGATACATTTAAATTTTAGCAATGATAATCATGTCAATTTTTGATAGCATTCATTTCTCCTTGTAATTATCAAATCATTTCTAGAACATGAAAACGAAGCACATCAAGTATTCTTCATCATGTACCCATGACACATCAGAAAAATCCTTGTGGTAAATTTTACACTGCGAAGTGCTGAAATTAACCCTATGAACGGCAAAATGAAAAATAATATAATCATATAAACTGACTGCCTGATTTTAATAGGAATTAAAGGGTTCTATTGGAGTATACCATCTCAGGTGGAAGATTAAGATTGAAAGACTTGCATCTTGGCCACAAGAAAGCATTCAGAACGGTAACAGTCAGGTCAATACCAGGTTTTGCAACTGGATTCTCGCTGAGATACTCCTCAAAATCAGTTTGATTTTCCTTTGACAAAGTCAAATCAGAGAGCTGGAAAGTTGGGTAAAATATGAAGGAGGGAAGTAAAGACAAGACAATGGCATGTCAATTAAATTATTAGTAAATATAAAATAATCTGACTGAGGGAGCTTACCATCCCCTCCATCTTTGATGTGAATAGATAGCCATATTTCCCCTTCAACTTTGTTAAGATACTTCTCTGATGCTCATAATTGGTCCTCTTATCAAAAAGCAACCTTCTAGCTAACTTCCTCCTGTTGACCGCAAAATAATAGTCTTAGATCAGTTCAACTTTTCACATACATGGGGATAAAGGGACTCATAACTCTTCACACACTACTTAATTCAACAAATAATATTCGTGTATTCCACTTTAATATCTAACCTGTATTCCCTAACATAATCTTTGGTTTCAAATGCATGTGATTTACTCTTTGTTCCAAAATCCCTCCATAGATTAAAAGGGTAAAATCCCTCCAAGGATCTTACCTACCTGTATTCCCTAACATAATCTTTGTTTCCAAAGTCCCTAACACATCTCCCTAACATAATCTTCACAATTGGAAGAAGCGCAGAGAGTTTAAAGAGCCAATTTGCTTTATTTCTTCATACCTCAAAGCTAAAAAATGGCGAATCTTTGGCTCCACAAGGGAATGGAAATAGAAGGCATTGAACATATTCAGAGTAATATAGATGCCAACGGGCAAAGAATAAAAGAAATAGACAAAAAAGTAAACTAGAGAAATTACCTGTAGAGTTCTGCAAATAAGTCTTTATCACTTATGTAAGCAAGCAGCTCTACAGCCTGCAAAAATGAAATTGATAGCAATAGATTATAGCTTTAAGAGAAAAAAAAAATCAGGAAAACAGAAAAACAGAACCTTCTCCAGTGTCTCCTCAGTGACTTCATCACTCAATTTTTCAGATCCCTCCTTGTTAAGAATGATGTCGCAGAATGTGGCAAGCAGTTCAGGAGTTGAGCTTCCAGCAACACCCTTGTTGAAAAAATTTTCAAAGGCTTTTTTAAGTGCCTGCAGAGGGGGAGGAAAGATTATATTCCAAACTTTAGGCAAATGCATAGGACAACAAGATGATGAACGATCTAGTTTACTAACTTCGTGGAAAATTCTACTCTTTTGAAAATAATCCTCTATAAATGCCAAGTATTTAGCATGAAGTTCAATCACTTTCCGAACAAAAACCTGAAACAGTTTTCAGTTAGTGAAAGACCACAAAATGTTTGGGGATTATTAGAAAAACCAAACTTTCGAAGATACCTGTTCATGCATACGAACATGTTTCTTGTCGGCCTGTAGAAGAAATGTCACTACTTAGAAGAAAATAGTTTTATCCACTCAGTCTATAAGTACACAATGACATGTGAAAAATAATCAGTATATATAAATAAAAACAACTGTGTGTGTGCGGATGCACACTCAAAGGAATACCAAGGTATATGCGAATAGAAAATGTCATTTGCTCATTAATACGGAGAAATTATTCAAGAAGTGTATAGCAAAAACCCCATGAATGTTAACCATCAACCCTTCTACAGTTTTCCAAGAAATTGGGTAAGAAATTTCATCTGGATAAATTAAATCATGATGAAAAAATGTTCACAACAATAACAACATAAGATTTTGTTCAAGTAGTACAATGTCAACCCTCTAAGATATATTCAAAGGAAGCCAATCAAGAATTATAAATACATCACACAGAAATTACTAGGATGTTTATTTAAAAAAATGATTTTTTATAAAAATTAAGAGAATGAATATAATATGCTTGAAACTTGAATTTAAGAAGCCAACAATTGCACACGCCTGCATGCTGGTGTAACAATTCCCCAAGCCATTTAATACACCTACACTACTATACATAACATATGATACAACACTAAAAACAGTACCACTTAAATCTCATAATGTGGTCCGGGGAGGTGAGGTTACGAAGATCTTACCCTGCCCAAAGAGTAGAGAGGTTGTTTCCAATAGACCCCGGCTCAAGGCCCATGAACACAGCAAATGAAAGTACCAGGACCAAGGAGATGACACAAACAGAATAAGCATAAAAGTATTAACTACAAATTAAGGCACGAAAGCACCCAAACAAAAACCACAAACTAAGGCCTAGAAGACTTCCCTACTATCCTCACCCCAAACCTCCAGACGGCTCTTATATAAGTTCATATCTTCGGTAAGATCTTGAAACCATAAAGCATGATGAATCACCTCTTCCAACTCTTCTTGGGTCTTCTTCTGCCCTTCCTCATGACACATACCTCAAGCCTCAGTGCCTCACACCCATCCACATTGGGGCATCCGTACCTCTCCTCAGTACATATGGTATCACCGCAATATCCTCGTTCCAGATTTTATCCATCTTTGTTCGAGATTGCATCCATCTTTGTTCCAGATTCTGTCCATCCTCATATGACCACACATCCGCGTTAGCATCCTCATCTATACCACTAATAACCTCTTAACGTGAGCATCCTTCACCACCCCTCAACAGTCAACACCGTACAACATCGCCGGTATGACTACAACCCGATAAAGGACTCTTGAAGTAAGCTTCCACTTGCCCGAGTGGCACCAATACAATGTGGAACATCCCCACCAACCTCTTCATTTGACTGAATGATATAAGCAAGATATCAAAGCTTGGCCCCTTTGGACTTCCAACACACTTGACCTACTACTAAAGCAACATGATACGAAGATGGAGTCAACACCAAAGCTGCCACGTCGGTCAAGAAGAGCTACCAGCACCCCAAAATACTTGGATGACTATTCCAGATGATTATATTATTCCAGTGCTTTCACTTATTGTTTTATTATTTTATTTTTGCTTCAGTTATTTGTTTGACTTATTCTCATGGGAGAGGGGAGTTAGTTTCCACCTTTTTAGATGTAGTGGTTTAGTGGAAACAAGCATTAGACCCCTGCGTGGGTATCACCCATGTTGTTGCCTATTTAGGCTTGTTCTTTGTTTGTTTGAAGCAGTAAGTTCAAAAATCCAAATCAGTCTCTTCCAATCTTTTAAACACTGCTGTCAACCAGTTCTTTGTTGATATAGTTTTCCGTTCCAATCCCCTTGCTGGAGTTTGTATCCGCTCGAAGAGATACTCGAGTTAACCTTCTATCACAACATTTCATCCACTCGGTATTATTCCTCAATCTGAAACCCTTGGATCCAACACTTCCAACCTATTACCGAGTCCCTCTCGTGTCTCATGAATCACAACAATATAATGTCATCTGCACACAGCCTGCACCAAGGTACCTCCCCCTGGATCTATCACCAACACAAATTGGAAAAGACTAATGGCAGACCCGATGTTACCAAATCTCCACCGGGAAATGGTCAAAGCCACCTCCTAAAGACCCCATCCTGGTCCTCACCCCAACATACACGTACATATACATATCCTTAATAGCTCGAATATAAGTAATCAGTACCTCTCTGTACCCTAGGCACCTCTATAAGATCTCTCTAGAAAGCATGTTGTATGCCTTCTCCAAGTCAGTAAACATCATGTCTAGGTCCCTCGTCTTGTCCCTATACTGCTCAATCAGTCTCCTCAAGAGATGAATGGTCACAGTAAGTCAGGCATGAAAGCAATTTGTGTCTCCGAAATGCTCACGCCTTTCCTAAACCTAGTCTCGATAATCCATTCCCAAACCATGTTATGTAACACATAACATATGATGAAGAGATTATTTACTTTGACATATCCAAAATTTTATACATCAATCATTCTGTGTAGAACCCACAAAGAACAGTATGGAGGCATCACAAACACACCTTTTTATGGCTTGCACCATCCTCAGCTTGCTTAACCAGAGTCATGCCTTCAGCAATTATATGCTTCATTACATGGGAGAGCACAAAATTGAATAGTTTCAAAAATCTCCGGGCAACCAGAATTTGTACGGTTTCTGATAGAAAGCATGAATGAGATCTCAGACCTTTTCAAAAATTTTAGCGACAGGATCTAACACTTTAGGTATTTCCAGGAAAAGCCTATACATCCTTGTCAAATCCTCCACCTAAAATAATTTAAGAAAAATTGTAGGCGTCAAATGACTGCAACTCCGTAGAGAAAAAAAATGTGAATACTTCACATAGATCATAATTTTGTGAGAGAACCTTGTCTTTGCTGAGAAACGCAAGAAATCCAGTTTGCTTATTCTCAAGCAATTGGGTGGTAAACACAGTCGACAACGCATAATGCACTTTCTGAAATAGTAAATGGGTAAAAGTAATTAGTTGGAAGTGAAGGAAAACTAGCATCAACAGCTTAAGTAACTTATCTGATGTAGAAAATAAAGCTGGCAAGATTGACAAAAGTACGACATGGTGTGTGATAGAACCTCAAGCAACCCTGACACACTACTTGGATGTAGATATTGAGGGGCCCTATCCTTCTCGCATTTCAAGCATTGTTCAGCCTGGAGATAACAAAAAATAATAATTAGAAAATGCTGCATTTGGAAAAAAACAGAGTGAGGATAGATTCAACAGGTTCTGAGAATAATTAGCTGGATCAATGAAAAAGATAAAGGGATAGAGATATTCACTTTCAACAGATAATCCAGACAATTCAGACATGAATCGTCTAAGATCCACCTAGAGGCCTTTAGAGAATAATAAGTTGAAGATTGCAGTAGCATTTCTGCTTCAAAGTCTGTGGCATGACAGTCGAGGTGTCCCATTCCAATTTCAACAAATATGCCTATCACATTCTTCAATAATACTGTATCAATCTGCTCACCCTCACGCTCTTGATAAATCTGGTCATCAATATTGTCAGTAAAAATCTGACCACAAAGTGGGGGAGTTAGACAAAAGATCTCACTAGCGGAAACATACTTGAGATAAAACAACATCTCTTACTTTGACCTTGATCTCTTCGTACACCTGATTCGAGTTAAAGTTCCAACATTAAGATTTTAAAATATATGTATTAGTTTGAAAGATAAACTTATAAAAGCAAGTAGTTATAAGTTACCAGGTCACGAAAGCATTTTATTCCAACTTCATTCAGACCTGGTAGGAATCTCCGGGTACAGAAATAATCTAGGTAATAGAAGAACCTCGACAACCATCTCACCATGCTCTTATGGTTTGACCATCTTTGTACGAGTTCTCTTAACATAGATTCACCATCTTTCTCTCTCAAAGATGGCAACACCTAAATTTAGCAAAAATTACAACATGACAACAAAGTTTGAAACCTAAAAAATGGCAAAGCTCTCAAGTTCATTTATACAAAAGATAGGAAAAGCAACTAAGGCTTTGTTATATCCTCACAAAGTAACCACTTGAAATTTTGTTTACATTCAACAGCAAAACCATTTCAACAAATTTAACATGAAGTTCACCAGATGTAGCACATATGCATAGCTAGTTGAGAATATAGCAATTGTAGTTGCACAACTATACTCCTCTGCTTATTCACTATATAGGGTCCACTATAGTTGTACAAAACAACTAACTGTTTCTCTGATGTATTCCTTGAATGCCTCTTGGTATGTGTTATACAGCTGCAGTGAATAGTTATGGGGCGGATTTTGTGTGCACATGTTGTAAATCGTTCTGTAGATGATATTTAAGGAACCCAAAAACAACAGAGCTACATTTTCACTAGGAATCCATGATGCGGTTTTTAAAAGGATACGTGTAAAGACTCATATATTCATCATAGCTGAATTGTGGTTTCAGCAGCCCCTCAATAGAGTTTTTCAGCTTTGTTATGCCATGCTGTGTGATTTCCAATCCCTCTTCTAACTTGATTATGGAAGGCTGATTCGTTGTCATGATGATTGATACCTGCAAACATTGAAATTTAAGGGGGCATGCTTCAAGTCCCGAAGTACAAAACTCATGAGAATTTCAATCCCCACGTGATTGGCATAAGCTCACTTAAGACCAAATTAAGTATTAACAATCATGCCTCCCTAATAATTTTACTCAGTACTAATGAGCTGCAAAACACTGCTAAAACCTAACCAAATCACGAGATGAGGATTTCCGAGTTTCAAATTAAGTAAACCCCTCAGTTAAAGCCAATGAACATCTCAAAATCAAATGAAGTAAAATACTGATAGTTTCGAGCTTCTACGAAACGAAGCAACTGAAACATCACAATATTCACATTCAACAGGCAAAAAGTAAGCAAAACAAGACGAGAACTCAGATTCTAGACGCAAACTGATACGTTCGTGCATATAAACATCTCGATTAATGTAATTTCAAAAACAGTCACTTCGTGTGTTGGAACTTTTGAATATCTGTATTCGTACGTGTAACGATGAACTTGCTGAAAAAGAGATCTGCACCGCAGAGAGGATCGACGGAAGAGGAAAGACGGGACGGGGTATTTAAGCAGAGTTGCCTTCGTGAATCTCTGGTCTCGTTTTTCTGTTCTTTTCTCCTCTTCAAAACTCCCGCCGAGATACTTTGAGGGAAATCAGCGAATCACTGTATTTTAAGAATATAAGGTACTAATTTAAGATCATTTTTAGGAATATAAATTGGTATACAATGGAATATAGAGATTTCATTATTTTAAAGTACAAAAGTAAAATGATTTACAAATTTCGAAAGACTTATTTATAAACTACATCACTCATATGTATAATTTGTGTGAGTATTCATTTCATTGTATATCAGAATCTTCAAGCCATTGCGATTTATTACTCTTTAAACTGCAACATACAGTTTCTCATGACTAAATACCAGTTTCCGTAACAATAATTCAATATGTTTCAGATATTGTTTTTGATAATAATTCAATAATTTGATTTATCTAAGCAATAATTCAACATATTAATGTATTTATTTTGGAATTTGTATTTTTTAATTTTATTTTCGTATTTAAGTGGTACCATTAACTTACCATATGATATTTATTTTCTATTTTATTTTAGATCACTTACCATTTTTACACGTATCCATGCTTGTAAATTATTGTATTAATAGTATTTATTTTAGAATACTTATACCATTGTTACATGTTTCCTTGCTTATAGTATTAATAGTATTAATTTATAATTTTTTAATTTTTGCATTTAAATTGTACCATTTGCTTAATGTACCATATTTATTTTTTCATTTATTTTATAACACTTACCATTTTTACACGTTACCATGCTTGTAAATTGTAGTATTAATTGATTGTATTATTTTGTAGTTTTCTATTTTTTCATTTAAATGGTACTCCGTATCATTTACTTACCGTACCGTATTTATTTCTAATATATTTTAGAATACTTATCATTTTAATAATTATTTTATTTTCTAATTTATTTAGAACACTTACCTAATTTATTTTAGAACACTACCATTTATTTTATTTTGTGTTTAAATGGTACCATTTGCTTATCATGGTCCATTCCGTATTTATTTTCTAATTTTCTAATTTGAACACTTACCTTTTTTAAAAAATCATGTTTTTAAAGTATAGCATTAATATTAATTATGCAGTTTTTTATTTTATTTTCGTATTTAAATCGTACTAATTACTTACCAAACCACATTAATTTCTAATTTATTTTAGAACACTTATCATTTTTAGATGTACTCTCTCTGTCCTAAATAGATTACAATTTTTCTCTCTCTTCTCTCGATAACTTTGTTTGTTTACGCGATTTCATTAAGTATTTGATAAAATAAAATATTCTTATCACTTCTTGTTTTGTAGAACTTTTGACGTAGTTGTTTAATATGTAATTTTTATATCTTATTGATATATCAATTTGTAAATAAAATGATTTCAAAAAGTAAGAAATTTTACTCTGTAATCCGCAATTTGTAATCAAATTGGGAACGGAGGGAGTATTTTATTTTCTCTTTTATTTTAGTTCACTGACCTAATTTATTTTTGAAAACTTACCATTTATTTTATTTTCGTTTTTAAATGGTGCTAATTGCTTACCATACCATATCTATTTATTTTCTAATTAGAACATTTGTCATTTTTAAAATGTTTCCATTCTTTTAAATTATAGTATTAATATTAATTTGTAGTTTTTTATTTTATTCTTTTATTTAAATGTTATCATCTACTAACCGTACCATATTTATTTTCTAATATATTTTATAACACTTACCATTTTTACACAATATCATGCTTGTAAATTGTAGTATTAATTGATAGTATTATTTTGTAGTTTTCTATTTTATTTTTTTATTTAAATGGTATCATTTACTTACTGTACCGAGGGATGGATACGGGAGAAATACGAATATAGCACTTTAATAGGCTTATAATACGCAAATAGTAGTGCTATGAGTTTTTGAGATTAATTCCCAATATTGCCCTTAATTAAACAAATTTGTATTATACTCAATTAGGTTAAAAAGTAGTAATTGGCCGCCTACCTTCATGCAATGTTTACCGAGAATTTATTGCCAGAGCTCCAAGACCTTGAATGCGGCAGTGGTTCACGCAATATTGGGCCTGTTTGGGAATAGCTTTAGCGAATAGCGTCAGCGTTTTGGATAAAATTTTAACGGTGCAGATTAATTTGAAAACGCTAACGCTAAAAGCTGTCCGTAGATAGCTTTTTGAAAACGCTAACGCTAATCGCTAAAGCTATTCCCAAACAGGCCCATTACCAGGAAAACATTAGGCAATGAATTTTTTGTGGTTTTAGCAAAAGATTCCCCCCCCTTAGGCAGTGTGTTTTTTTGTAACGTAATGGTTTTTTGGGAACTTTAAAACCGTTTAGGTTTTTGTTTTGTGAATGTTAGACGCAAATTTTTTTGGGTTTTTCATTGCTCGGCAGTGTGTTTTTTGAATTTTTTGTTCTCCACTGAAACACAATCAATTTTTTTTTGGGTTTTTATTTCTTGTCTGTGTGTTTTTTTGAGTTTTTTTTACCTGCGGCAGTGGTTTTTTTTGGTGAATGTTGGCAGTGGGTTTAAATTGTCGTTGGCAGAGTGTTTTTTGTGAATTGATAGCGGTGGGTTTAAAGAAGAATAGATCATTGATTTGATAACAAACACCCTCTTCCCAAAAACAATTTTACATTTACTGTTTACTTGGAAAAAACTATAAAAATTTAATTACATTTAGTATGAGTGATCTTACCTTTGTTGAATATGTAAATAATACTCAATGTTTACTGACTTTGAAATATGTATACATATGCAGGTGTAATTGTGGTATGTTTGTGGTGAAATTCGCGGATTTTCTAATGATGGATTTAGACATACAAGAAGTACAGTCATGTGACATGGAAGCTTACCGGATTAAAATGACAACAGAATTTTTAGCTTATAACTATGAAAGAAAGGCAGAATCCGGGAAGCAATAGAATTTTCTTTGTTATGTTGGATAATTTAATCTTCGTATGACAGTTGTTTGGTGTTTGTTTGTTTAAATTTTTTGGTGTTATTCATGACAGTTTTTTAGTAATAATTTATGGGCATTTAATTTATAAGTGATTTGAGAAGTGGATTAATGGAGAGTTTTATACAAGTGCTTATCATTGATTTGGCTTTTTTTGGAGCATACATTGAAATATGTTGTCAATTTAAAGAGTTTGTATGGAGCATACATTGCAACTGTTCATAGCACACTGACCAAAAATATTGGAAAAAATACATTGCCAAAAGTTATACGCAGATCACGACCATTTCACACTTCCAAAAAACTTTACGCTTACACTGCATATCCACTTTATACGGAACTCAATGAATAATATATGATAGTGAGATTTTTATATATAAATCACATTTGACGAAAAACACTAGCGAAAGTTGGTCATAGAACACTGCCAAAAATTGTTGATAGACGTTGGGAGACCCAATCCACTGTCACAATATATACACTGCCACAATATATACACTGCCATATTGTTAACCAGAATAAATACTTCCAAAAATTCAATGTCTGAAATACACTGCCACAATATATGCGCTACCTAAAATTCAATGTGTAAAATACACTACCACAATATATGCATCGTCTAAAATTCAATGTCTGAAATACACTACCACAATATATACACTACCACAATATATACACTGCCACAATATATCTACACTGCCACAATAAATACACTGCTAAAAAAATCACTGTCCTAGTACACTTCCACATTTCACAAAGAATTTATTCCGGGGTAATAAGAATTAAAAGAATGCAACTTATACCATATTCACTTTTTGCAATCCAATGGTGCAAGTAGACAAAGTATTATATATTAATTCAAAATTCAAATTATATTATGAGTACAATTATTGAAAGAATGAAAAAACCAAATAATGTGTCTGAACAACATCAAAAATGGATGAATGAAACAATTGAGATTTGTACCATTGTTACATGTTTCCTCTGGCCTATTTGAAATTCAAACAGTGTGTGCAACTTTGCTTTCTACGCCTCTGGCCTATTTGAAATTCACCAACCGATGGAAGTCTCCTCTTCTTTGGTCTACTCGAGGGACGCTTATTACAAGATGGAGGCTTGCAAATCACTAATGCAACATCCGGTGGAACACTCCAGGAAGACTTATCTCCTATTTGGTGCACAATGTCATTGTAAGTAGCAACTAAGGATTCCCATTTGTAATATGGTGAGATGAAATCAAGATATATCCCCTGCATCGCACTACGCCAAAAACAGTATCAGACGACTGTTGATTAACTACTGTTTATAGAAATACAGTAGTTAAAAATAAGCAGACTACTGTGTGTTTTTCTTGGCTGCAGAATAGTAGTCTAGCTACTATGTTTTAAAACTATTTTTAAAGTTTCGAGAAACGGTAATCTATCATTAGTTGTCTGTGTTAGTGTAAAATACAGTTTTTGTTACAACAGTTGTCAATAACAAGTTAAGAATACTATATTTAAACGGTAGTCTGGTTTTTAAGTCTAGAACTGTTTTTAAACTTATTAGAAACGGTTATCTATTGCTAGTTGTCTGTTTCACATTGTTTTTTTGCCACATTTATTTATAATAGGAATAGAACACTCTATTGTAACAGTAGTCTATGAATTAAGGATAGAACTATTTTTAAAGTTGTGAGAAATAGTAATCTATTATTAGTAGTGTGTTTCATCTAAAAATATAGTTTTTGTTGCCACAGTTGTCAATAACTTGTTCAGACTACTATTTCTAAGCAGTAGTATGGTTTTTTAGTTTATAATTGTTTTTAAACTTATAAGAAATAGTAATCTATTATTAGTTGTATGCTTCATATGGTTTTTTTTGCATAGTTGTTTACTATAAGAATAGAAGACTCCTTTGTAACAGGAGTATATCTATATAGCGTAGAACTGTTTTTAAAATTCATAGAAACCGTAATCTATTACAATGAAAAATGTATACGCTCTCTAGCTTTACTTTCATACTTGCGGGCAAAATTTATAAAACAATCAAATAACCGTTGTTTCAAACAAGTATATGGACATGAAAAAATAAACACTTCCATTGAAACGAAAGAAAAAGTACATGGACAGACTGTCCACATGAAAGGAATTGGGAATCCATACAATCAATCAATCTCACTCATAAAACGAAAAAAATAAGAAGATGGCGACATCCAAATAGAATCTACGATCCAAGGTGAATGTAGAATGGTGGCCCGAGGAACATAAAGCATCCGATGTATCCATTACACACAAGCTTTGGATCGCCATTAGTGTTAGAAACAAGGCCATCCACTAGAGGGGCCTTTTTCTTTGAGTTGACATCTTGAACTTCTTTACTGAATATGCTTCATCAATCTGTTGGGGGGATGGGAGAGACCTGTTCATGCTCAAAAATAACAAAAATCAAAGGGTCAGATAACACCCCGATAGGGTTGTTCGTAGGGACATTTGGGTCAGAAAGAATATCATCATCCCCATTTTTGGAACTGTCTTGTGTGCCATCCAGTTTATCCCCAAGGGGTATAATGTGCGCATCGCCAAGGTGGGGTTCCAAGTAGTCACTTGCAACTTCATTGGGAGGGGCAGTAGTGGCATAATCATCTGATTTATCCACATTTAAGAGACTATCATTTAAAGGGACAATATTTTTTGTAGTAGGGACAATAGTTTTTGAGGCATGCTCATTCACTACATCCAAGAGTACAAACATCAGGTCCAAACCATTATCACCCATGGGCATTGGACTGCTAGTGCATTGATATGAAAGATCAGACCAAAATACCAATTTAATTTAACTGGCCACCACATTGAACAATCACAGGTCACGCACCATAGCAAGCCATCAAGAAAGAGCAACATAAATTGGTGCAAAAATCCAGCATCAAAAACTCGAAGTAGTCTCGCCCAATAATCAACAAAATAAAGCAAAAAGGAAAGGTCCAATAATAGCACAAAGTAGAAACATAGTTCATATTGTGTACAGTAACCGCACACCCAAAATCAATCTTCAATCACAAGATTATTCATATGGATTTGTAATCCATGATAATACCTTGATGGACGATTCTCTATCGGACAAGAGATGGTGGTGATAAATGTTCTCTATCATACAAGAGATGGCAGTGATTTTGAAGAAGATGACGGAAATCATCTCTATCGGAGAAGAGACATTCTGAAGGCCGGGACGCGATAGACCTAATTGCCAAATTGGGAGCACATATTAGGCGGGCAATGAAAAATCTGGAGGGATTAACTTGAAAATATTTAGAAGCAGTAATTTGATTTTTGAATCAAAAAAGTTTTTTGGTCCATAAATATCTCATTTTTATGTACCACTTTCAATTAGGCCGGGCAGGCCCCGAAAAATGAAAAAAGAAAATTGGCCCGGTCCAAAATTTACATTTTGTGCCCTATTTTATATTTTTAAAATACGTTTGCTTTAAAATTATTAACAAATTTAAAAATATGGTGCCCTAAAGTTTGATTCGATCCGATTAGGTCTGTTTTGGTCTGATTCGATCTAATTAGATCAGATCTAATGCGTTTAAAGATTATATCTGGAAAATAAGATACAACCTTGACAAGTAAATTGATTTTTTTGAAGATTAGATCTGATCTTATTGGATTTGAATTTGATTTGATCTGATTAAATTTGTATTGGTCTAATTCGATCTAATTTGATGTGATGTAATGCATTTATAGATTAGATCATGCAAACCGGACATGACCTAGATAATTAAATTGTTTTTTCTGAAGATTTGATCTGATCTTAATAGATTTTAATTTTACTTGATTTGATTAGATCTATTTTTGTCTGATTCAATCTAATTAGATCCGATATGATATGATGCATTTAAGGATTAGATCAGACAAATATAACACGACCTATATAATTAAATTGATTTCTTTTAAAATTTGATTTGATGTTACTAGATTTGAATTTGATTTGATTCGATATTTTTGAAGATTTGATGTGATCTTATTGGATTTGACTTTGATTTATTCTGATTAGATCTGTTTTTTCCGATTTGATCTAATTAGTCCGATTAGTTCCCCATTATATCCATATTCAATGTGGTAATACATCATTGTGTTATATGTAATAGTACCCTAGCAGGTGCAAACTAATTAGTTAGTAAATACGTGGTTTTCCGCACGTTAAGTACATGTATTAATATGTGTATAACCATATGGGTGATCACTTTATGTCCTGTTGTTAGATTCACTCTTCAGCTTTTGCTGAGCGTGTAGTTGTTTTTGCTATACGTAGGTAGACATGACGGTACCGGTGTTTACCCTGGAAAACAGTGATGATGGGAAGATGGGCGGCGCATGGACCAGTTTAACATTTATATACATTTAATTTAAATATTTGGGCATGAACCCACCATTTGTCATTTAATTTATTTTGGACTGGACTTATCTATTTACTTCCGCTTTTACTCTGCATTTATATCACACATGTTTGGGAATAACTTCCTAGCATTTATTTCACCAATTAAACCCAACCGTTTTTCATAATAAATACACATTAATGTTTTACGTTACGGACGGTTCTCAGACCGCCTATGTAACCCTACCGGTCCATTGGGTCGCGGGTGAATCGGGTCCACGGAAGACGTGTGTTACACTTATCAATGATCTGATTTGGTATAATCTTATCTGTTTGTTTTTTTTGAAATACAATATGTAGGAGAGTATGAACGATGGTGTCTTTTAAAAAAAATGAGATGAAGAATATATAAAAAATCAATTTTAAAATAATTTCAAATATTATTTTTTGTGTTTCTCATATCTAGGATGATCTTTTCAATATAAATAGGAAAAGAAAATAAATGATGTTTGACCTACGAAAGGTATAATAAAAATTTCAAATAAACTTCTTTTAAAAAAGGATTTTTAAAATTTTTTTGAAATTAAATCTAACAAGTTAACTAGATAGATAGTGGTGAAAAGCCTATATACTAAAAAATCGTAAAATACAATTAATTAGTTTAAAAATGTTTTTTAAGTATTTTTTTAAAAATGAAATATTACAATTTAAAGTTCATAGTGATTAAAAAAGGTATTAGAAAGGTGAAAATGCAGTGGTTACCTTGAATTAAATAAAAACGATGTGGTCAATTAATTAGAAATAATAATATTTTGAAAGTATTTTATAAAATAAATATAAAATTATTTGGTAACATCATCTAAAGTCAATTTTTTTAAGTGTAAAAACAAAAGAAAACAAAAAAAATTTAGAACAACAAAAAATAAAAAAGCAAAAAAACTTAAAAAAATAAAAAGTAAAAACAAATATAAAAATTAAAATAGAACAAAAAATAGAATGTAAAGTTTGTTTTGGGAAGGAAGGAGTAGAATCTAAGGGTGGGAAAATGAAAATAATAGAGGGAAGGGAAAATTTTTGACAAAAATGAGAGAGGGAAAAATACCGCCATTTATTTAGGTAATATCCACCGTTCATTCTCGGACTAAGATTCATTCTAGCCCTATTCACGCCCAACCAAATCGTGAGACTATTCATGTCCAACCAATTCTGCTGCTTCCTCCTTGATTTCATGCTCAATTCTTGAGATTTTTTGACATCTAGATTCGTCCTCAACAAAGGAATCCATATTAGAGTTCAATCGGTGATTTGTCTGCTCGGATATGTAAGAATTGAAGGTCAACGGCTCATTGGTCACCGTTTATCGGCAAAATTTTGGAAATCCGATTTGGCCATCTTCTTGCTAAATTGGAGCCGGAGTTTTGGGGACTCACTAGCGAATATGGGAGCTCTCTTTGAATCTCAAACTGGATTTCTAATCCATGTTAAGATTCCAATGATTTGAGCGTTTGGNCATATTAGAGTTCAATCGGTGATTTGTCTGCTCGGATATGTAAGAATTGAAGGTCAACGGCTCATTGGTCACCGTTTATCGGCAAAATTTTGGAAATCCGATTTGGCCATCTTCTTGCTAAATTGGAGCCGGAGTTTTGGGGACTCACTAGCGAATATGGGAGCTCTCTTTGAATCTCAAACTGGATTTCTAATCCATGTTAAGATTCCAATGATTTGAGCGTTTGGTTGTCTCGAATTTACTGTTCATAGCAGAAGGTTGAGAATCCAAATCCCCAGGTTTATGCTTTTGTTTTCCTCCAAATCTCTGGTGCTTTTTGGTTATGATTTAGGGTGTGTATCATTCCTTGTATAGATTTGTGATTCAATGCTGGATGTAATTCCCCTGATTTTCCTTTAGCTCGGGCAACAACTCATGTTAATCGTTTGAATCTACCTGGTTTGTCTGTTGTTTGTACCTACTGCAGCTTTGGATGTTTTGTATGTTATGTTATGTGTTTTGTATGTTTTGTATGTTATGTGGGTAGAGTTTAGGCCTATGTATATCCTACCTTCCTGTGCCCACTCGTGGGATTACTCTGGCTTTGTTGTTTTTGTTGCTTTGTGCTTTGGGAGTGAATCTGATTTGGAATTTGATTTTCACTACCAAAACCAAATTGTTAGAACAAACTTCGAAAGAGAATCTAATTTTGTTTTTGATCCTTAAGGAAAGGTAAAACTTTTAGGGCTGATTTTCATAAAGAATCTGATTTTGCAGGTGTTTTCCAAGATACAGCTGAAGCTCTAGGGACTGATTTTTCAATAGTATATGGTTGTGAAGCTGATTTTCAAGATAAAACTGAAGCTTTAAGAGGTGAGTTTGAAGCAGAAAATGAGTTAGGGGCTGAATTTAGGACTTGTAAAGCTCATACTCCGTATTTATGAAGAAAGTGAAACTTTGGGGACAGAAATTTGCAGAACTGGTTTTGATCAAATCATCACTTCACAGTACTTATGATCAGACTTTTTTAAACAAGCTTGAAGTGCTTAGAGATATGTTGTTCATTTGGCACAGATTTAAATCAACTTTAGAGTATGTCTCTTGTTTTGAACATTAAGAATTCCTTACTAGAAACAAAGAAACAATTTCCTTTGAGATTTATCTAAACCCCTTTCCTAAAATTCAAGAGGAAAGATGGGCTATTTTAATTCATGATCACCAAGCTCCCAATTCCGAATATATCTTAGTGAATAACCCTGTGCTAATATCAAGGCTAAAGCTCCAAAAGTAATAAGTACAATTGTTATTTCTATTTGATTATATCTTTACCTATATTTTTAGTATTACTGTAATTATTATAATGAAAGCATTAATTGAAGTTTTAATTGGTTTATGGGCTGAAAGGGTGGTTGCTTTTTGACCCCTAGTTACTTCGGAATAATTATAGTGAGTTAGTTTTTGGGGTTTGAAAAATATGAAACAAAAATGCTTATTGTCCACCATATTAGAATAAAAGTACAAGACATTTTCATTCATATTTACTCATTCTTTATATTGTATTTTCAGTGGGCGCGAAGAGGGAATCTAGAATACACTATGGATGACATCAATGAAATTAAGGTTGAATTTGCTGGGCACTTCATGAAGTTCCATGCAACTTGAGCAGTGCAAGTATCATAAGGTGACATTTTTTTATTTTGAAAAATCTTCACATTTTGCTTAATTTCTAAGCTGAGTTATGAACTTCAATTGTTAATTAACTAGATGCATAAGATCTGCTTTGGAGGTATTTAGCAAGTAAATACCTCCAAAAAGTTTCAGGTATTTTTGTTATGGAACTCTTTCTTGTTATCAATAAGCATTCATTTTATTTATTTAATGGTATGTAGATTGAGGACTGAAGAGGATGCTTTACAAGAAAATGTTGCTAGAACAAGAGATGAATTCAAAAATGTTATTGAGGAGACAAATAACTAAATTAGGCATGCTCAAAGGACAATTAGAATGTGAATTTTAATTATGTAAATATTAAATTATTGGATGCTAATAAGATTTTGGATTGTATGTATTTAGATATTATTCAATATATTGTACATTTTGGAATTTATTTTTGTTTCATGATCAATATTTTAGAATTGAAACTAATTTTAATTATTAAATATAAATGTAAATTGAAATATAGTAGTCTTTCAAAAAGCTTTACAATGTATTTAAACAGTTTTCTAAATCTTTAAAGGATGACTACACAAACATGTATTGTTAATAAACATTAGACAATTGAAATAAACAGTTGTCTGAAATACAACAAATAAAGTTGTTTACATTTTACAAATACAACACATAATAACAGTTGTTTTATGCAAACATAC